TGTATTGTAAAATGGGTTAGAGTACCATTTGTTCTCAATATATGAATAAAATGAGTTAGGTTTTTATCAATACAGCAAAAGAATAAGTGTAGGAGAAAATTATAGAATAAAAGTGAATTACCAATTGCAAAAAAAAAAAAAACAAAAGGATCTATACCAACGGAATTATCCATTTGTAAGGGTAAAGGTCTATACCCATGGTAAAATTTTTAAAAATTTTTTAGGGTTTATACCAACGGAATTATCCATCTGTAAAGGTCAAGGTCTATACCAACGGATAAATCTTTTAAAATTTTTCAGGGTCTATACCAATGGACAAATCTTCCATCAGAATAGATCCCAAGGTCTATACCCACGGATTAGTCGTTGGTATATACCCTATAGTGACGGGGTTTGCACCGACGGAAAGCTCTTCCGTTGGAATAGTCCTTGGGGGTGTATACTGACGGAAAAGGGGTGTATACTGACGGAAAACTTCCGTCACTATAGATACATCCGCTTGTAGTGGTAGTACGGATGCGCATGGTGCGTGACATGCATGCGCTGTGCCTCTGCGTGCCTTCTCTTATAAATAAGGTAAATGGTGCAAATCAATCCCTAAACTTTTTAGGTTGTCTAACTTTGCCACCTTATGTAACATCCCCTTTAGAGTAACCATAGGTCAATCAAGTAGGGAAATGTATTGCATAGCTAAGTAAAGAAAAATATAGAAGAAATCTATAATATGAAAATATTCAGTTTATATACTATTCCTAAATTCAATACAGTACAAATAAATTTAAAGTTATAGAGTCAAATGAAAGTTTTGGACAGATACAGATTTACCTTACTGAAATTTGCAACATAACTTACAGTTAGCATAAGGTCTCCACCCACAAAATTCTTAGGAATAACAGTTATCCTTCACTGCTACTATCTGAAATGGTGGGAATAACACCATGAGTTCATAGCCCAGTAAGTATAATTCTCAATCTCAAGTTAAGTTGCTAATTAAATCTTTAATATCTTGTGTAGAAAAATTTCTTTAGTTCCTAGCTGTATGAACATTGTAGAAAATTGAGGCATTGCAATCATAAATGATCACACACACATAACACATCATAATAGTGATAACACAAACTATGAAGTCCACTAAATGTGCATGCATTCACATTAGGTGCTAAAGCTAGTCATAGCACTTGCCTACTACATAGAGGTCCACTGGTTCACTGTTCTAACCCCCAAGCCTAAGTTGAGGTCCAAACTCTCTATAGTTCTAAGGAAATTACATCAAAAACCATTTATAGCACATAAACATGCATAACAGATTCCATGTTTGCTTAATTTGGTCCATAAAACTCATAGAAATAGGTTATAATGAAGGGCTTAAGTCAAATACATAAGACATAATCCAGAGAATGTGATACATATAATATATTAGTCCCAAAACTAGAACTCATCTAACTACAGAAATTTCACAGCTTTAGCACATGAAATTTTTGTTTCTTCATGCCTCTGTATTTATTTCTCTCTATGTTATATAAATTATTCTACAACACCTTAATTTCTTGTATATACATATTTTGTCTAATTTATTTACCTTCCTATTTTTTTATTTGACAACTTTAGCATAAAATTAAGAACCACACTTATGTACACACTTTCTTCAAAATCTTGAACTTGGTAGAATTTTTCAATATTCCCCTAGTCTGCTTAACCTATCTGCACCATCCTTCTCCTTCTCTTTTGGTCCAGCTGTAGGCAAAATATAAGAAATAGCCAATTTAGTGATATGGCTCAAGAGTCCCGGTCAAGTAGGGAAGTGGGTCTTAAGTGCTCCTCACTTGGCCCACTTCTCATCCAACCACTTGTTATTAATTTGGCAAAACCATAAGTTAAGCCCTTGAACTAACCCCAGAATTGCTATTAAGCCCTTAGACTTTAATTGATGCATATGAGCCCTTAAACTCTACAATAGAAGCAATTAAGCCCTTACTATCACAGCAACTGAACTGTTGTTAACTGTCGTTAATTGCCATTTGGAGACTGCCTTGTGTGACGAAATATGGCCATCTCATGCCTACGTGGCAAGGGATTTGACATTTGGTTTGTTCAGTTAGATGAAAAAAAATAATAATAACAATAATTTAAAATTAATTTTTTATATTATTTTTTGTATAATTTTATATATCATTT